CAGCAGCATAATTCTGAGCGGTCAATGGACGCACAGTCTTATCGATAGTTACTAGTGCCTTCACCCTGCTACAGAATCGATTCAATATGTCCACTATAGAACAATACTGATTCGGGTAATCCAAACGGTCTTCCCACAAAGCTTGAACAACTCGTAGCGTCATTAGCGGATTCCGACGTTGAGGCAGGCGTTTAAGTTATATGCGGGGGAGGTATTTGCAACCAACTTATTGATTCACTTTTGTTTGTGGGGTTTTGCACTGACCGTCAACGCTAGATTCTCTATCGTCGTAATTTCCCTTTGGTCGCACAACGCCAGTAGTGTTGAATGCGTTTGCTAATAGCAAGCAAATGGTGGGCTTCGTGGGGGCAAGACTGAGATCAGTGCGTTTTTTATCCGTTTGGGTTTGATACGGTCTTCGAGACACCAGCGATGTGACCACGTCTAGAAATTAGTGAGGACACCAAAACCGTGTTGGCCTGTGGGAACTTCTCGGATCGATATTGCCGATACTTTCCAACTGGAAGCGCTATGAGATAGCATGGATAGTGGTCAGCATTAACCGATAGATAAAGTCATTACGAGCTGCGAGATTTTCGTAAGATCGTATAGATTCTATCGATTGAAACTGGCAGACGTGTATAATGCAAGCGATGGATTCGTAAGTTTTTTTTTCCAATTTTGTTTCTCTAGCTCTTCCAAAGTGTGCCTGTATTCGTTAAATAATATTGAATTTTTAGATTAAAAAAAAATTTTAATAATACAGAATGAATGAAATGATTTAATGGCTAACCTACGATACAGATAGATTTTGTAGACTCTCAGCCTTCCGGCGAATGCTCATCAGATATAGTCTGCACCAAACATATAATATTGCTTATTACAGTACTTATGTTATTTAAATATTAACCTAATATCATTAATGTACATATTATTAAAGGTTTCGTAAAGTGTAGCATTTGTTTTCGGACACGTAAAAGCAGGTTCGGGCCTTACGACGGCATCATGATTAGAACGTAGAGGGTCGACCAAAATACCTCGTAACTCATTGAACCCTGATCCAACAGCGTCAGCGGAATAATGGCCATAATCTAATCTTCGAGATAATGAAAACTGAACGTACCGTTTTACTAACTCTGCGGATTTAGCAGCTGGCTATTGTAGTGTCATCATGCGGCAGCCGATGACAACAACGAGAGACAGTCCATACATTGTCTTGACATCGAGTCACCTTTGTACATAGTGCTTAACGACGATACTTTTAACCGGAAACGGATCTGTCTAACCACAGATCCTGGTGCACATCTTCACGTCTGTGAATAGATAATGACCATTAACATGGTAATACGTATCAATGTATATATTAATTTCTATCTTATTAATCTATTAATTTCTGCATTTTAATACCGATTAAGCTGGGCAACTGCCGCCATTTGCAACGTCCTTCAGTCAAAATTTCGGCTTAAACAGACATGTTTGTATTGGAATAATTTCTAACTGATGCTATATTCCGACTACACTGCACTGCTTTACGGTGTATATGTACCAAAATATACCAAAACTCAGCAAAGTTTTCTGTGCAAATTACGCTCGTGCTAAGCAGGCGTTATTGACATACACATGTTGATGGCCAGTGAAAAGTTTTTTTTATGTTTCGGCGCTGTTCCTTGTTGTTACCCTCACGTTACCTGCTCCCCACTTGCTCCACAGTGGAACTGATAAAGAATAGGACTAGTTGGTGTTTCTTTGGCTTTGCTCTGGTGATCCTGACGGCGGACTACGTCACGTTAGGTGAGTGTTGTCCAAAGGCGACAAGACGTCGACACGCACAGAATGTGACTTTCTGCGACTCTGTGGTTGCTATATAGATGGTCCCCAGTGCCGCTGCAGCCCCATCTGCTGTCCACCAGAGGGCAGAACCAAAATCGTAGTGAATTCCCTGGTGAGACAGCGAGCAAACCAATGGGCCGTGCACTATCACAGTACGTGCCCGACGTGCAAAAATAGAGAAAAAAGAGAAATACGAACACAACTCGCAGGTCGGTTTATGGAGTGCTAGACCGGAGATGCCATTCAAACCATAGGCAGTGGGCCTGTTTGCTTTAGGACAACGGACAACACACACGGAGTAGAACAGCAGGTCCGAGGCTAGACCTCGGCTGCTACTGCTCTAGAGCGTACTGCACGTACATACATACCACTAATAACGTTACAATGTAAAGGCGAAGAGCAACGATCTACAAATACAACCTTACTCGGTAGGGGTTCGAACAAGGGGTGCTTAAATATCTTCTAGGGCAAGAGGAAATCTGGAGGCCTGTATGTATAACCTCTATATTTCTTCTTCTTCTGATACGTGTACAAATACGTGTATACGTTTTATGCTAATGTGTCAACTTGTCTAATGCATGGCGTGAAGAGAAAGCGTTTAAATGTTCTGGGAGTCAATGATCTTCCTGGGTGCATGTCGAACTACGGGTGAAACCTACTTAGCTCGGAGAGCACTATGACGCGCTGGTGTCCCAAGCATAAGGACCAAATCAGGAAACATTTGAGCTGTAGTCCAAGCTATCACCAACATGGCAGGTATCCTTGTACCACACTTGGACTTCAATAGGTTTGTTCCTATGCAAGCGTATGCATACATGAGTCATTGCTTCCTCCCCTACAGGAAAAAGCGCATCGTATGTTTAGCAGATATCACGAAACTAAACTATCGTGAGTTTATGCTCAAAAACGCTAAATTTCTCTCGCTTATGTCAATTTCCGTTCTGTTTCATACGCGTTTTTTGGTATATCAAAACTGTGTCGCTGGTCATGTTGTTTTGGACATTTTATATTCTTACTGATAAGCTTATACGTATGCGATGGAATATATAGGCATGACGAGGTGATCTGTTCGCCGGCTAATCTCACTGATCTCGTTAGTCGTTTCCATTCACATCTAACAAAATAGCAGCTGATAAAATGATTTAATGTCGACTTTGTCTTCTGGCTCTGACATACAGCATTCTAGTGACGCTTAATGGTATCTTCTTTTAGCGTGTAGCACTGACCAAGGGCCTTTTGTGCTGCCCTGTTGGAATTCTGTTTACCAACTTGGCAGCTGCGACCGCACAACGATACTCTCACGTTTCTTCGACAGATCGGTGCCCCAGTCGTAGCAGACACTGGCTTAGCAATATAGAGAAAAGGGGCAATAAGCTTGGCACTACCAGCACCGGTCTAGGCAGTTGGTGTATGTGCGTCATTACGCCATCTTTTTTTCGTTATTTGCAACGTCGCAACCTTATAATTTGCGCTCGACTACTTAGCTCTTTTTTCTATTCGCATCATCATAGCTCAGGTGGGCTCGAGCTGGCGAGTCACGGTGACCGACTGACACAGCGCTTACATGGTCATACGAGAAATACGTAGAGTAAAATCGTTTTCAGTAGCGAACGTCGCGGTAGCGCCGGTCACGGCGGCGATAGTGCTAACGTACTATCTAACATGCTCATACCGGTTTCTGGCAGGACGCCAGCAATAAACGACGGACCAGACGGAAGTTCTCCCTATGCCTGAGTGCATACGACGACATTCGTTCTGCGCTTGCTATTCCTAGCAAAAGCCTGCTACCATTGCACCATCAACATCAGCAATCAGATCGCTTGCGCTAATGGTGGCAGCAGCAACAGCGGCAGCCTGGTGAGGCCTCACTGTCCCTGAAGTGGCGGCGCAAGGCACGCGCTCGGCAACGCTGGAACGACCCTAGACGGTGTCTGTGATAGCTACTTTTTTTCACCTTTTGAGGGTGTTTACCGCTGGCAAGGCCAGTAGTATGAGTTGCGAGGCGAGGCTAAATTGGTTAGTACCGCTGAGCGGGCGACGAACTTTGACAGCGGCAGACCGTAGAACGGCAGTAGTAAATGAGTGAATGCCAGTGTACGAACAGTATACTAAGCACGCTCCTACCATACACCCGGGCACGCGCAAGAGGATAGATTCAACTTAAAGGTCCGCGCCGAAAGAGTGTATCAACCACAGCTAATAACCACCCTGAAAAAGTTGTGGGCAGTATCGTCCACGCACGCGGAAAGCAGCAACCGAGCGTTGCACGCGCCGGAAACAATAGTAGCGCTCCATCGCTCCGACTGCCGTTGCCGCAGCTGCTGACATGGTAGTATTTTCTTTCTGTTGATGCACGTTCTACCGACGTTCTTGTCGCAAAGCATTCTAGTAGTCTGATGGAAGCTGAAAAATGCCTGCTTCCACCTACGCACTAAATGTAGTTACTATAAAAGCATAGAGCGTTGTCTATTAAACAACGTGGCCGTACTATCTGCTTCTGCCGCTATTGTCGGCCACATATCTTCTTTGTAAACGCATTTGATAGCAGGTACATTTGTTACTGGCGCTATGGCCATCCTCATCGAGGCCTAGATTTCGAAACAATGGACGCCTGTCAGGTTAGCCTTGGCAGACGCCCTCGCGTGTCTCTATCGATTGCTATAGTATTGAGGCTCGTTGGGTAGCTGGTATGTTAGACTTTTAATTTTCTCGACATCGTCACACCAAACTCTATAAGCTAATTGTTTTCAGAGAACGTACAATCATCAATACGAGGGTCGTAACTCCTCGTACAACCGTGCCTTCTATAGCCGCTTGTGAAACCTTTTCATAGGCGTTCCTCTATTCTTTTCATCTGTGTCTCTTTCGGTCGCATTTCTGTCGATTTACTGCTCTTCGATCATGAGAGCAACGCACCAAATAATGTCTTTCGAATATTTGGCAAATGCATGCGTAAGTGTTGTCGCTCCCCTTTTCAGCGCTGTTCTTTCGCCAGACAGCTACCGGCGTACAAGCTAACTGCACGAGACACTGTCGAGTAACGCACGTCGCTTCAAGCACAGATAGCACCTGCGTAGAGCGTGAAAGGCCGAAAGAAGAGAGATAGAGCTACACATAGATAAATAGAACGAGACAGAGTAGCTTGTGTCAACAGGCTGACAGAGCGTGTGGAAGCAAAAACAATTAGCGTACGGGCCGCATTTGCCGTCCGCTGCTTGTTCGTCGTTGCTGCACCGGACGGACCGGTCCGTTGTGGTGGTTGTGATTTGCTTAGCGCAGTGACGCCGTACTGGTGTCCTCAATAGAAGATATGTGTCCGGATGTCATTTTGATTGACGTTTCAGAGATAACCCGCTTGGCGTCTATGGCTGTCTCTATTGATGGAGAAGGTGGGACACGGCAGGGGCTGATAACGCGGACAGGACGTAGGAGAATGTGAGCGACATCCTCTAACAGCTGCGCCATCAGCAACAGTTGCGGCCGTGGTGCCGGTTGCATTGGCTTTGTAGCCCAACAACTGGCCCGACCCGCCCACAGAGAACAACAGTCAGGCAGCCAGCCGCCTCTTTTTCTTCGGTCAGCTGACCAAGCGACGGGTGAGGAGTCAGACGATGGTAGTCCAGTCGAATACAGCCGAAACGGCTAGACCGTAGCGGCGGATGTTGTTGTCTTTGTATTTCGCGATGTTACCGTGCCATTGCAGGTAGATGGAGACTACGAGGGAGAAATCAAGACAAGATTGCGAAAAACAAGCGGAACGAGGTAATGATAAGGTTATGCCTTTAGCCCTTGTCGAACGGAATAAACAATGTGAGACACACAGCATCTGCCAGATTCGTGTTTGCGAACTTCGTTGGCCTGGGAGCGGTTTCAAAAAGAAGCAAAAAAAAAAGGGCTTCCAAATAGAAATGAGAAGGTGGGGTGATTAAATCGAACAAGAGAAGTACCGTGCGATTTCAGAAGTATGTAAGAAATGGGAGAGTCCATTCGTAGACCCATCTGTGCTAAGGAATATTGTTTGTTTCATTATTATAGTTACTCGGCTGGGTTTTAACTGACGTTGGGGGGCGTATGAAAGGGAACTACATATGTAACGATGTATATTATAGATGCGCATGTAGATGTAGCATTTCTCATCAGCTGACAACCATTAAGAGAGGTTTCGTAACCAGGTGTTGGTATTTCATCAATGGTGCGGCAAGTTAGCGGAAGAGGATAGCTCAGTGTCGCTGCCGTTTGTGCCTCGCCAATGAACAAATGCAAATTAGGAGCTTGCTGGAATCGTTATTAAATTGCTGGACACGGGACGCAGCATGACTCTGTGGCTTTTGCTTGAATTTCGCTACTGAAGTCGATCATCGGCGGTGAAAGGGGGCGAAGATCTCGTGATAATCTGATGTGATTTGGGATGGCCAGCACTTGATACCCGCGCGGTATGAGGAAAGTTACTTAACGCAGCGGAGCAACCGACTGTTCGGGACTGGAGTCGCAGGGAAGGGAATTAAGTTGGGCGGTGAAGTTTCCAAACACTCCCACTAATGTTTTCTAAGGCTAACCCCTTCCCAGAAAATATGGTTAATGTTCGATTACTACTACGTACAGGCATTCAGAACGAAAGGAAAGACTATGTATATATGCAAATAGTCCAATTACCTATTTACTCACGTATGTATACGTGTGTAACCCTGCGTCAGCGGTAGGGACCGTGTCCGCCTGCAGTTATAATTGGCAAGCAAGCAACCAACCAACCATTTCGATATGCATGGGAGCATGTGCAGGGATTTAGACGTAGTACTTATGCAGATACACACGTTTAGTCGGTCGAGATAATGGTCTAGTATAATGGTCTATAAGTGAAAGAATCAACTTAAAATGAACTAAAAATTAAAAAATACATTTGGGCTTCAAGAGAGGCAAGAATAAAGAATGCTTGAGCAAAGATTTGAGTTTGTTGTTCCTTTCCTATAATGTCTGTATGTTATTTAGCGTTTGCTTCCCAGTAAATCTCAAGTTATACATCAAGTGATAACAATACTAGCCAATTTTTCATATTGCGGTCTCAATTTAGTTTACTGACCTTAGAAAGAAAACGGTGTAATACAGATATGTACACTTAATGAAGATACGTTGCGATGACATTGAAACTATTGTTTTTTTACAGGATGTGACGGTGTATCGGCCACCGGTAGCTTCGAGATCACAAGAAATGTGTGGGACATCAACAGTAAGGCCACCGCCGCTGGCGGACGGCAAGGAGCCCATAATGAAAGAAAAAAAAAAAGAGAAAAGACGAAATTCAGAGAAACGGAAAGAAAAATCGAGGGACGCAGCCCGATGTCGTCGCGGAAAAGAATCCGAAATCTTTAATGAGATGCTTTCCTATCTTCCGCTAACGGACGAGGTTGCTAGTCAGCTAGATAAAATGTCAATTTTAAGGTTGACATTGATATCGCTACGACTTAATAGGTTTCTAGGCGCTGCGGGTCGCAGATCGTTGAACGGTGACGACCACTGGCTTCGGTTCGGCAAGAACGAAGACGCCTTGTGCGTGGACCCCGTATTGGATTTAATGGGCGGATTTTTAATGATTTTAATGGAGGACGGTGAGAGCCTTGAGCCGATTTTCGTATCGGACGGCATACATACAGAGATGGGTCTTCTGCCCGCAGAATTGCTGGGTGTTTCCCTCGAAGGCTTTGTTCATCCCTGCGACTATCAGGAATTGCGTGATGCGTTAGCCGATCTCAAGACGACTCCAAGCAGCGAGAAACAATTGCAATACAAGACGCTGCAAATTCGAATGAAGTGTACAATTACCGCTAAAGGCCGTGTCGTGAATATTAAAAGCGCAGCGTATAAGGTTGTCAAGTACCAGCTAAGACTTTTGAAGCGTGAAGATGTGACGTACCTGACGGCCGTTTGTGAGCCAATGGGCCCATTCATGGCCAAATTAAGGCCAACGAAGATAGCGTTCTTTAACTCCGAAGTAAAGAGCGGTGACGATTTCATTTCACAGCACGATCTAAGATTCGTGTTCAAGAACATTGAAAGATTACCGTTCTGTTTTGGCTACTCACAGAATGAGCTCCGGGGACAATCACTATACAATGTCATTCACCCGCAAGATATGGCCACACTCGTTGACAACTTCAAGGAGCTGTTCAACAAGGGTTATTGCGATACCGGCTTCTATCGTTTTCTGGCCAGTCGTGGTGGATACTGTTGGGTTTCCACTAAGGCCCAACTTGTTCAGGACACGTACGGGAAGCCTCTGACAGTCCACTGTGTCCACAGCGTATTGGGAGACATCCACCAGCCTGGTGAGGTGCTCGCCTTGTTTCAAAAGGAGGCTTGTGAAAATCACTGCCCTACCAGTAGTAACGATGTCCAACAACAGCAGCAACAGGCTCTTTGTTCGGCATCAGAAGAACTAACAGCAAATCCCACAACGCATACGCAAATTGTGCTTGTGCCTTCTATCGAAAGTCGACACGCAGTTTCTGCGACAGGTTCTACCAACTGTTACGTTCAGGTATGCGGGCGGCACGAGATCGGTTATCCTTTGAAGGCAGCTCCGATGTCTGTCGTTTTGCCACCACTGACCACCCAGCATTCGCCGACCGTAACGTCACCACCAGCAACCTCATTAGTACCGGCAACAGCGCACTCGGTACCATCACAGCCGCAAGCGGTAGGGTTATCCATCGTCCACGCAATTTGCCGCTGCGGCGGCGGCAACAGCAGCAACAGCAGCGGCAGCAGCAGCAATAGCAGCGATGGAATAGTCGCCAGCAGCAGCAGCAGCAGCAGCAGCAGTGGCAGCGGTAGTCATCACGTGCTTATTTTTGCACCGTCTGGTCCCTGCCGGAGCGACGGTGGCTCCCTCTGCGGCAGGCCGGCGACCTGCTCCACGTCGCTGGCGCCCTCTGCCATTGGCCGCCACATCGGCGGAGGGCCCTCGCCCATGGCGGGTGAAGGGACCCCGGCCAACTGCCCTCTCTCCGTGCAGAGTCTGTCAGCAGCGGCGACTTGTGCAGCCGCTGGCGACTTGTGCAGCGGCCAGGCAAGCCCCGTAGCAGTTATAGGCCAATCTAAAAATAATCAGTTGGATAATAATAACAGTAGTGAACAACAGCAGCACCAACAGCATCAGACTGATTGTACAACAGCAGCAGCAGCAACCTCACAGCCATCAGCACTATCGTCGTCGTTGTCGTCGTCGCCGTCGCTGTCTCGGACGACGTTCCTCGCGCGACTAGTGGTGAACAACAGCGCTGCTGCTAGCAGCAGCGGCAACAGCAATAGTGACCACAGCTACCAGCCACAGTCAGTGTTACTACAGCGGCAACAGCAACAGCGAGTGGCTGAGGGAAAACAAATACAGCAGCAGGCTGCTCGCCAGGTGACGACTTCAGTGCTGCCGGCGACTTCAGCTCTAGTAGAGGCTTGCGATTTAACTACTACTACCACTAGTGTAGTTGGTGCTAGCCGCGCTGGTCGACTGCCCCTACTGGCCGAGTCTCCGACACAACCAGTTAGAGGAACGAGCCCGTCCAAGGCCCACGACAATACTATCTCAGTAACAGAAGCTCATCTAGACGCTGCTAGTTGTGATGGTAGCAGTTGTACGCAGAGTCGTTTTTGCCCCAGTCTGCTCGTTGTAGCGGACGGAGGGCTCGCTAGATTGCGAACCGTCGCGGAGCAGCAGCTGAACAGCAGCAGCAGCAGCGCCGCCAGCGCGGCCAATACTCAAGCCACCGTAAACGACGACGACGACGACGACTGTGGCCATCGACGACGACACGCCACTGGCACTGCCATCAGCAGCAACAGCGGAACTGCAGGGGGCTGCAGTAGTAGTGATAACAACAGCAGCGACGGCAAAAATAATCATAAGGTTTCTGTGATTTTGAACCATTTCGATCACGAGCAACGGCAGGCCGACGCGCAGCAGCAGCAGCAAAACCAAGATCTTCTATCGTCGTTTGTTACCAACACACGCCTGGCGACAAACGGTCGCAAACCACCTGCAGCCGCATCGGCTCTCCACAGTGGCAGCAACCATGGACTGACTGCGCAGGACTGTACTAACTTGGAGTTGTGTGCCCCATTGTCACTGCCACCGTCGCTTGAGCAGGCTTCGCCACCCCCGCCAGCCCCCGAGTGTGAACCTGTCGACTCTGAGGCGGATTGTGTGCCGGGTTTAGTGAGTTCCGTTGACGACGAAAGTAGTAGTTGTGCCAGTACCAGCCATTCGAACACTACGACCACTGCTAATACTGCCGTCGTTCAGGGCAATAATCATTTCTCGTGTGCAGTCCTATTCGACAACGGTGATGCTGCCCCCGCTAAGTGCGAATCTGTGAATTCAGTAGCACACGCATCATCATCATCAGCATCGTTGTCATTGTTGTTATCGTGCGTGCGACCAGAGGATAGTTGCTTACCGAATGTTGCCAACTGTTCAGCCTGTGACGAACGTGAACTTACAAGTCAGGTGCAGCCGCCAAAGGCCGGTGCAACGTCGTTCGATCGAGCGCTGACCGGAATTGACCGATTTCTTAGCCAACAACATCAGCATCATCATTATCACCGCCATCATCAACAACAACAAGAGCACGACCAACGGTTACAGGAACAGCCACAGCAGAAACAGGGCCATCACGCAGCCAAGCATCAGCGGCATCATTATAAACAGCGGCAACAGCAGCAGTCACAGCGCTATGAGGAACCAGACCTGATTGCAGTGGTAAGGGGCGACGATTGTGATTGCGAAGACGAGGTAGATAAGTGGACGAAGCTCTGGCCGAGCCTATTGGCTCCGACAACGTCGTCTGTGCTGTTATCGACATCATCAACAGCAGCGCGCGTTGCACCCACAGCGGTAAGAAATAACCAGTCCAGCAGAGGCCTTGCTGAGTCAGCAGCAGCAGCAACAGCAGTAGAAACCGTTGATCTCGGCACTGAAGCGCAACAAATCGCAGCGAGTGCCGTAGAACCAAATAACGAGGACTCGCAGGCAATATCCGTGAGCACCTCGACGTTGAGCGTATTTGCTCCGCGCACCGAGGAGATGTCACCCGGCTTCCTGCAGATCAAAGGAGGCCAGGTGCTGACATGCGAGGAGCCCGGTCTAGATCTCACCCATCTCGCGCCGACGGCTGGTGACAGCGCGATGCCCCTCGATGTTGAATTCGAGATCAATGAGATTCCCGAAAATCTTTTCCCGAATCTGCTTGACAGCGCGGGCTGCTCGCCCCTTTCGACTTCTCCTCCGTACGATGATCCTCTGCTGGGATGCGGTGACCTACCACCGGCACTGCTCGAGGACCTATCGGACAACCTACAGTTGGAAACAGACAATCTGCTATTGCCAACCGACTGGCCACTTTCCGACTCAAGTAGTTTGGACCACCCACTCAATTCGATATGCAACGGTAGCAGCAGATCATCTCCGTCAACGGGAGGCTCAACGACATCTAGCCAACGAGATCACGCGACGAAGCTCCACGAAAGCAGTAGCTATGGACGAAGCACAACGACAGGTTCAGCGTTTAGCAGGAGCAATAATAGTACAAGAGCAGCTGACGCAGTGAGCAGCTGTAGCAGCCATTGTAGCAATCCTGGTGCCGCAGGTCAGTTAAGTGCAAAGTCGGCAGCATCCACACAGCCTTCTACTCATTTACAAATATCAAGCAAACCGATGCTTGCAGCCTTATTGCAGAGCGACCTCGTGCCTTCCAGCGTGAGCCAGAAACAACGTGCCATGGTCCATGATTGGGGTGGCACCACGCAGCCTCTTCCGGAAAGCCACACTTTGTCTTTACCTCAGTCGACAGCCACAGCGGCAACAATAGTAACGACCCATCACCCTCACCACCGACAGCAGCAGCTGAACACCGCAAGCTCAGTGTCAGCTCACCTCACTGCTGCGGTTCACCATGTTGGCAATAATGGTAGCGGAAATGCAAACAGTCAAGCTAGTCCGAAACGCGCTGCTCCCGTGAAGTTTGTCCCGCAAAAAGTGCAGTCACCCTTGACAATCAACTCGCTAAAAAGACCGCTCTCAGTTAGTCAACGACACCATCACTCGGCATCCGACCAGTCACCACATCGAACCGCATCGTTTACCCCGCTCAAACGGCGAAAAACGCTGGACGAGTTACAGCCGAAACCGGTTGACAAGAGCGGCAGCGTCCTAATGAAGTTGCTTGTCAACGGCGAGGACCTGCTCAATGGCTACTCGTGTCGGGTAGTGCCTCGGCAGGGTGAACGAGACGACAGTAAAGATAGCGGGGCCGCGCTCGGCTTAGGAGTATTGGGCAATGGCAAAACAGAGCTAAGATCGGCGCAGGACTTCCTTTGCAGTCTGGCCAGTCAACTGGACCACGCGCCAGCGTCAGTGGGCTCCGATGCAAGCGACTTTTGTCATTTGCTTTCTGCCGACGACGATATACTGATGGCTTTAGCTGCTGTCACGCAGGAATGACCTACGGTCGGGAGGTTTATGTCAGCCGCCGCCCGTGCGCGTCTGGTCAGATGAGTGCGTGAGCATCCACCTATGCACGATATCAGGAAGGCTAGATAAGAAAGAAGTGACGTAAGAACAATTAGACGAAGACATACCACTACTGTAAGGCTAATAGAGCTACTAAGATAACAATAAAAATCGAACCATTCGTAACCAAGCGAGTAATGCAAGTCCAGTAGTAGTTAAAAATGACAAGGAAAAAACAACCGCAGCAACAAACTAGAAAAGAAACTTACACATATATATATATATATATATATACATATATATATATATATATACGTGTCTGTGTAATGCTATGGAAAAACCTGTCAGGAAAGAGATGATACTGGTGGAGTAAACAAGCAGCGAATGAATCCGTGATAGTGCAACTGGAACAAATAAGTGCTTAAAATGAGCAGGAATTGCCGAAGAATGTAGCTAACTCTGCAGACGAAGAGACTGATTCATAAGCAATTGATTGTTGTGGATGACGGATGGAAAGAAGCTCTGTTCACTAGACGACAAACAACAGAGCGATGGTGTTGCTGACGCGAAATGACGAAGACGACCTTCGTTCAGCCACAACAGCGGCGACGACGACGACAACAGCAGCAGCAGCAGCAGCGACAGCGACGACAACAACAGCAACCTTGTGTGTAAAAGAAATACGTTATTATGCTTGATAACGACGTGATTGATATGGACGAAAGAACGGAAGGATGCCTTGATGCCTGATGATGAGGGCAATGATCACACTGATGATTAACAAAACATGTTGATGATTGTTGAAATGGTTACGATGTTATGAAAGATTAATATGATTACGATAATGAAGACATCAATGCAAATGCCGGTACATTAAATCAACGATGGATATCGCAATACGTGATAGAACAAGAAGAAGATCGCAAAATGACGAAACACAATGTAGTTGGATGCAGATAGTAACGTTGACGCAATAGTACCGTGTTGATGGTGAGACGTGCCCAAAGGATAATGCTGATATACATATAAGCATATGTAGAAAGAGACTTGGATACATCTAACGGAAAAATTGACATGATGATCGAGAGCGAATAGTTGGTAATACGGAGGTACGGATTGGATATGAGCTATATTGTGGGGTGAGTGATGTTAGAATAAATTGGGCAACGGAGTGGGGCAATGAAATAAACGGTTTGATAGTTCACACTTTCTTCCGTTGTGCGCTAACGTTTGTTCTAGTGTATATCTTGATTATAATTAATTGATCGATTGGTTGATTGATAGATAAATGAGCAATGACTGATTCTGGGTAGCTGATTGTTCGGAATGATCGTTAAATAGGGTTTGATTAACGGTCAGTGCCTATCATTACTATGAATACCATTATTATCGTTCGTGAAAAGGAGTAGGGGCAACGAGGTACATTGGACAGAAGTTCATGCGGATGAACGGCATCAATAAAGACACACCATACGCAGTGAGGTAACACGACTACAAAACAACGATAGAGCCAACGATTCGTACGCGATCAAGCAAGCCATGAGTCATAGATAACAGCAATACACAAAGAATAAATATTAGAAAACCTCAAAAAGGGGCTGTACTATTCAGACTATTCGATTTCGGACCATTGAAATCGAATTTTCCGGTTTCAATCAGCTGCAGGCCGAAACTGCCCACGGCTTTTGCATTGATGATTTGATAGAAAAACGGACGTGGTTTGACGAGTGGGGTTATAACTATTCAAAACACCTATATATACATAGATAAATACAAAGGATACCATGCTATCAACAACAACAACTCAAGCTAACATTAGCACTCGAGATCAGACTATCTAATACAGACGTTATACAACTAAACATTTCTTTTCGTCAAAGGTTTATGGACCGTACTTGTAGCTTGATGATAAAGAAAGGTGTTATACAAACTCAATGAGTTCGAGTGTTGATCAACGATTAGGTAAAGTCGACAGCGACGACGGGGGCAAGGTGATTTGTAGAAGTTGACGAAGAACTAGGGAAGTTCAAATGGTGGCAAGTAGCGCGTGGCGAAGTTCATATACAATACAGTACGT